GGCATTGAGGCTGCTGCGCTAGGTGCTGGTGAGGCTACTACTCTAGGTACTAGTGCGTCTGCTGCCCCAAGTGCCAGTGCGTCTGCCGCCCCAGGTGCTGGTGAGTCTGCTCTCTCAGGTACTATGACGGCTCAGGCCTTCCACACCTTCACCCTGGACTCGGGTGCGTCCTGCTCCTTTCAAGACCGCACCACTCTTACGCCGCTTAGTTGGCCAGTTGCGGTCTCCCTGGCAGACCCCTTTGGGGGTCTTGTCCTTGCTAGCGTCTACACTGTCCTTCCGTGCCCTCCAGCCCCCTCTGGCACCCTGTCTAGTCTCTACCTCCCCTCGTTCTCTACGAACTTGGTGAGTGGAGCGGACCTACAGGATTGAGGGGTTGACTAGTTCACTCCCGCGAGTCAGCGAGTGACCCAGTGCACGTGTGCTCGGACAGGCCGACACTTGGCCACGTTCACCCGTCGGCCAGGGTCGAGCCTGTACACCCTTACTGCTGAGTCTGGTCAGGTAGCTGCGTTGAGTCAGGTGTTTGCTGCGGCGTCTAGGTCTGGTCCTGAGTCTGCACCGTGCTCGTGTCGTCTGCTTTCCCACCAGACTCTCCTTTGGCACCACCGCCTTGGTCACCCCTCCTTGCCTCGTCTCCGAGGCATGGCCTCTCATGTCCTTGTCTCTGGTCTTCCTCGGTCTCTCCCTCCCCTTCCTCCGAGGCCTGGCCCTACCTGCGTCCTTTGCGTCGAGGGGCGACAGCGCGCCGCCCCTCACTCCTCCGAGTTTCCTCTGACAGAGGCTCCGCTGTAGACTCTACACATGGATGTGTGGGGCCCAGCCCGCGTCAGTGGGCAAGGGCGAGAGCGGTACTTTGTGCTGGTCGTTGACGACTACTCGCGTTACACCACAGTCTTTCCCTTGCGCAGCAAGGGTGACGTCACTGAGGTGTTGATCGACTGGATCCGCGCAGCTCGTCTCCAGCTCAGAGAGAGTTTCGGCTCGGACTTTCCTATTCTGCGTATGCACTCGGACAGAGGCGGGGAGTTTTCCTCTGCCCGTCTGGGAGCCTTGTGTCGTGCACAGGGCATTCGCCAGACCTTCACGCTTCCGGCCTCTCCACAGCAAAATGGGATTGCTTAGCGCCGCATTGGCATGGTCATGGACGTCGCTCGTACGTCCATGATGCATGCGGCTGCCCCCCATTTTGTGTGGCCGTTTGCGGTTCAGTACGCCGCGTATCAGCTCAACCTTCAGCCCCGGGTCTCCTTGCCAGAGACCTCCCCCGCCTTGCGGTGGACAGGGAAGGTTGGTGATGCGTCTGCGTTTCGGGTCTGGGGATCTCGGGCGTTTGTCCGCGACTTGTGTGCGGACAAGCTGTCCCCCCGTGCTGTTCCTTTCGTCTTCTTTGGCTTCCCCCCCGACGCGCCTGGCTGGCAGTTTTACCACCCCACCACGCGCCGTGTTATGTCCTCCCATGACGTCACCTTTGACGAGTCGGTGCCTTACTATCGTCTCTTCCCCTACCGCAATGCGCCCCTCCCCCCGCCGCCGCTCTTCCTTGCGCCAAGTGCCCTCCCCTCTCAGGGTCCTGCCCCGTCAGGTGTGTCCCAGGTAGACGCAGTCGAGCCTGTCGAGGTAGCTGTTGACTCTGGTGCTGCTAGAGGTGCTGAGCCTGCGGGTGCCGGGTCTGGGGGTGCTGAGTCTGGGGGTGCTGAGACTGGGGGTGCTGAGCGCGGGGGTGCTGAGTCTCGGGGTGCTGAGCCTAGGGGTGCTTGGTCTGCTCGTGTAGCCGCCGGCGGTGCTTCGTCGAGGCAGGAGCCGCTCTCTCTACAGGAGACGTGCTGCTGAGTCTCGGGGTACTACTGGAGCTACTGGAGATGATGTCGGTGTTGGTGCTAATGGAGGTGGAGCTACTGGGGGTGTTGGCGCTGGTGTTTCTACTGGTGCTGATGCGTCAGGGGGTGCTGCTGAGGCTGCTGGAGCTGGCGGTTCTACTGGAGCTGGTGCTGCTGGAGCTGGAGCTACTGGGGGTGTTGGCGCTGGCGGTGCTGCTGGCGCTGGTGCTTCTTAGGATACGGGAGTTGGAGCTGTTGGAGCTGGAGGTTCTGCTGGCACTGGTGCTCCCGCTGGGGGTACTGGTGCCGTCCTTGCTGGTTCTGGAGGCGTTGAGCGGCCGAGGCCGTACTTCATTCCGCTCCTGGAGGAGGTTCTTAGTATCCTGCCCTCACCTGGTCCTGCTCCTCCCTTAGAGTGTTCGCAGTTAGTCCAGTTGCAGTCACAGTTATAGCCTGCCTCCCCGCTACCTGCTCCTTCTCCCTACACTAGTCCTACTGGAGGTCTTGCTAAGCGTCGTGAGCCTGCGTCTCGTCCTGCGTCGCCTGTTCGTGCCGCTCGCACTAGTCGTCGTGCTACGCGTCCGTGTCCTCTTGCGGTCCCTAACACACACTCGATGGCACTGCGTCCTTCCACTGCTTCTCTGCGTGTCCCTTTGCCGTCTCCTCCAGAGTCCTCTCTTCCTTCTCTTGCTGACCCGGAGTCTGACTCCCTTCGTGCTGCTAGTCCTTCAGTCATGCGCCTTCTTGCTACTGTTGTCACTGACCCTTCCTTTGAGTCCACTGCTGCGTCTGCTCAAGTTACTGAGCTCGTGGACTTCGCTGCTCGTTGTCGTCTAGACTACGCTGCCAGTCTCGTTGCTGAGTCTAAGTCTGTCTGTCCTCCATCGGTCAGGGGTGAGTGTGCTCTTAGCACGGACGTCCTTGAGGACAGGCAGGAGGAGTTCCAGTACTTTGCGTCTGCTTTGCCCCATCTCGTGTCCACGCTGATTGCCCTTGAGGGAGACCCGGATGCACCAGACATCCCGACTCCTCGATCGTACGCTGAGGCGATCGAGGGTCCCTACTCGTCTCAGTGGCAGTCGGCCATGGACGCAGAGATGGCTTCGTGGAAGTCCACAGGCACCTACGTCGACGAGGTTCCCCCACCTGGGGCGAATCGTCAGTGGGATGTGGATTTTCAGGGTAAAGCGGCCGCCGGGCTCTCTACCTATCTACAAGGCGCGTTACGTGGCTCGAGGCTTCAGTCAGCGGCAGGGAGTTGACTACTTTCAGACCTTCTCTCCCACCCCGAAGATGACCACTCTTCGGGTGCTGCTGCCCATAGCCGCTCAGCGCAACTATGAGCTTCACTCTCTTGACTTCAGCACAGCTTTCCTACAGGGCAGCCTGCACAAGGAGATCTGGCTGCGCCGCCCTCCTGGCTTCACTGGGTCGTTTCCTCCTGGTACCCAGTGGAGCCTCCGGCAGCCAGTCTACGGTCTCCGCCAGGCGCCCCGTGAGTGGCACGACACACAGAGGACTACACTTGCGGCTCTTGGCTTTGCTCCTTCTACAGCCGACCCGTCGCTATTTCTGCGCACCAACACCTCTCTGTGGCCGTTCTACATCCTCGTGTACGTCGACGACTTGGTCTTTGCCACTGCTGACACTGCTAGACTCACCCACGTGAAGTCCAAGCTGCAGAAGAGACACAGGTGCACAGACCTAGGTGAATTGCGCAGCTACCTTGGCTTGCAGATCACCCGGGACAGAGCACAGCGCACCATTACCCTGACTCAGTCACACATGGTGCAGCAGGTCCTTCAGCACTTCGGCTTCACGTACTCCTCGCCTCAGGCCACTCCTCTGTCTACTCGCCACTCGCTCTCAGCTCTGCCTTCGGATGAGTCCGTAGAGCCGAGTGGCCCGTACCTTGAGCTTGTTGGCTGCCTCATGTACCTGATGACCTGCACACGACCTGACCTTGCATACCCTCTTAGCATCTTGGCACGCTATGTTGCTCCTCGGAGACACAGACCAGAGCATATGGGTGCAGCGAAGAGGGTGTTGCGCTACGTGTGCAGTACGTCGGGCATGGGGCTAGTGCTTGGAGGGCGACGTCGAGTGGTCCTCAGAGGTCACGTTGACGCTTCTTGGGCTGAGGACCAGGCTACGCAGCGGTCGTCACAGGGTTACACCTTCAGCCTTGGTTCCGGCTCTGTTTCGTGGCGGGCTACTCGCTCATCTTCCATTCTCGGCTCCAGGTGTGAGGCTGAGATCTACGCAGGGGCCATGGCTGCACAGGAGCTTCGCTGGCTCACCTACCTGCTGACTGACCTAGGAGAGCCGCCTTGTTCTCCTCCAGTTCTGTACGTAGACAACAAGGCCATGCCGGCCTTGTGTCGGGAGCACAGAATGGAGCTTAGAACGAAGCACATTGCTCTCCGCTACTTCCTGGCTCGAAAGCTGCAGCAGCGTGGTCAGCTCCGCCTCACCTACGTGGCCTCTGAGGCCAACACTACTGATATCTTCACCAATGCCCTTCCGCCTTGTGAACATCAGCGCTTTTGTATTGTGCTAGGTCTTGTGCCTACCTGGCCTCACTTGCTCACTTCTTGATCTTGTTTGTATTGTATTCTTTCTACACCTGCCCTTGCTTGTTTTACCTTTATATGTATGACCTTCCATGTGAACTGGCCTTGTGACCTTACTCTTGTGCTCGGACTGTGTGGTGACTTTGTGATCCACCCTGAGCTTGCTTTGCTTTGCTTTGCTTGATTGGTCTTGTGACCACTTGTTCTCCTCCACTTTGCCTATGGGGGTGTGTCACAACATTATTGCTTATGGGGTAGCCCATAAGGGGTACAACCCAATTATGGTTAGTACTTGTTCCCAACAGTTTCATAGTTCATTCATTCCATTCTCACTTCTCGTCAGCATGGTACCTTACCGTCCCCACACTGCCCGAACATGAAAATTTGAGGATCGCGCTCGCTGGGGCATTCACCTAGGAATCGAATCCGAATACCAAGCCTGGACAATTCTGAACTTCGCCACCCACCTGCTCACGCGTTCACGTAAATGCATCTTCTACAAAAGAGGCAAGAGTGTGGTGCAGTCATGAAAGAAGGAGCGGGAAGCACCCGAGTCAAGGGTGAAAGTGTGCAAGGCCTGAGCCGACGCGGTACCTGAGAGAGCAGACTAACCAGCACCTGGAGCAGAAGACTCACTAGCACCTAGAGCAGCAGACTCATTAGCACCTAGCACAGCAGCCTCAATGCCCGGGTCAGGCGGAACAGACAGGTAACAGTCACCCTCAGCACTAATAGACACGGCATACATAGCAGCAAGGATAGCATCATAATCAAGATCAAAGATAGCAACCCCTGACTTAAGCAGATCACCCCAGTAAGGGATCTCAGTGGAGTCGGGAAACTGCGTACGCTAGGCGTCAGTCAGGCGACCAAAGCAGCGCTGCGTGGCGTCCGGCCCTCCACACGTTTCCTCATTGCGGTCGCTGGTGCGGAGAACGTAGGCTTCGGGACCAGCACCCCCAGACCTCCCACGCCCAGCGTATCACTCACGAAGCTGCTGAGGCGACAGGGTCTCACGAGAACACTGCTGCTACTGGCGCTGGCCACCACCAAAACCTTTATGCTGCATAGCGCCACCTCGACCAGCACCACCGCCGCTGCCACCCCCACTCCCGCTGCCGCCGCCGCCTCCACCCCCACCACCGCCACCAAAGCCCCCACTCCCGCCACCACCTCCACCTCCACCCCCACCCCCTCCGCCGCCTCCACCGCCACCACCGCCGGCCCCGCCGTCCCCTCCACCACCCTTGCCCCCCTTGCCCTTGCCGTTGCAGTGCCTCCCACTAGGAGCAGACGCAGCGCCGACCGACTCGGTGCCAACGAGGTCGACAGCAGCAGTAGAGGCAAGAGAGGGCAAAAGGGGGACAGGGGAGCACCCCTCAAAGAAAGGGGCACGAGGGTCACCACGAGAGGCTCCTACAGCAACTATACTCTTCTCAGCTGCAAGGAGGCGCTCCTTGAGGAGGTCAACGGTGAGCGTGGTGGGGCAAAGGGAGAGGGAGTGGTCCATGACCGAGCGAAGGGAGTCAGGGAGCCGGGTGACGAGGTAGTAGAGAGTGATGTACATAGGGGGGGGGGGGGGGGTTCGCGGCGCAGAACTCGGCAAGAAGTGCAGCGCGGTAGCGGGTGTCACTAGTGCGGAGGTGCGTAATGGGGTCAGCGACTGTGGCAAAAGCGGCTAGGTCAGGGAGCAGGTACGGCAGCATGAGGCGGCTAAGGGCAGTAGTGCCAGGGGAGGAGTAGCGCGCAACAACAGCGTTGTACAGTGTCCTAGCGGTCTTGTACTGGCTAAAGTGCGCGTGCTCAGCAGACGGCAGGTGACTACGAATAGCAAGACAGGCAGCAGCATCGCGCGTGGTCCACAGCGAGCAAACGGTACTCTCAGCATCAGCAGCAGGTGCAGCAGAGGCGCCAGACGTAAGATCAAAAAGCGAGACTCTGTCCTTGCTATCAAAAACAGCTGCAGATCATCGACCCATACCTCGAAATCAATTGCCCAACCCTCATCATCGAAGGAAAGTACATTGGGAGTAGTCATGACAGAAGTAGAAGTAGCAGTAGTAGTAGTAGTAGCAGCAGCAGCAGAAGTAGCAGGAGCAGCGCGACTCGGCAGGGCAGCGCAGCTCGGTAGGGCGGCGCGGCTCGGTAGGGCGGCGCGGCTCAGCAGGGCTGTGCGGCTCAGTAGAGCAGCGCGGGTGCAGCAGTGCGCTTACCAGGGCGGGATCAGGGTAGGGCCACAGCTGGAAGGGCAGGGCCGAGGCGCGCTGGCAGGTCAAAGCCGCGTCACGCAGGGTCGCAACGAGGCAGTAGTGAAGGGCGGCAGCAGCGGCGGCAAGAGGCAGGGCCGCAACAGCTGCAGTAGGAAGGGTCGCGGCGGCAGCAGGCAGGGCCGCGACAGCTGCAGGTAGAGCCGCGGGAGCAGGGCGGCTTCACGGAGGGCCGGGACAGCCTCAGACAGGGCCGCGACGGCAGGGGCCGCGACGGCAGAGGCCGTGACGGCACGGTCGCGACAGCAGGGGCCGCGACTGCAGGGGCCGCGACGACCAGGGGCCGCGACGGCAGGGGGGGCGCGACGGCCAGGGGCCGCGACGGCAGGGGCCGCGACGGCTGTGGCCGCAACGGCAAGGGCCGTGACGCCAGTGTTGAAATGAACGAACAGGAATGATTGAACTAACAGTGAAATCAGTACAAGTACCTAACCCTAGAATTGTGTACCCCCTATAGGCTAACCCACTGTAGCCTAAACTAACACAACATATATAATGTTTGACATACCCCCATAGGCAAAGTGGGGGAGAACTAGGGGTCACAAGACCAGTCAAGGCAAAGCAAGGCAAAACAAGCTCAGGGTGGATCTCAAGGATACCACACAAATTCCGAGCACAAGCAAGTGGTCACAAGACCAGTTCACATGCAGGTTTATAATAGAGCAAAAGGTACAATGATCACAACCTAACAAGAGTAAACATGCAGGTATATATACAGAGATCACAGTACAAACAGACTCAAGAAGTAAGCAAGTGAGGTCCAGTAGGCACAAGGCCTAGAAGAGTGTAAAAGCGCTGATGGTCACAAGGCTGAAGCGCCTTGGTGAACACATCAGCAGTGTTGGCCTCAGAGGCCACGTAACGCAGGCGAAGCTGACCACGCTGCTGCAGCTCTCGAGCAAGGAAGTAACGCAGAGCAATGTGCTTCGTTCTGTGCTCCAGTCTGTGATCCTCACACAAGGCAATGGCTGCCTTGTTGTCGACGTACAGCACTGGAGGAGAACGAGGCTGCTCTCCAAGGTCGGTCAGCAAGTAGGTGAGCCAGCGTAGCTCCAAGGCCGCCATGGCTGTGGCGTAGATCTCAGCCTCACAATTGGAGCTGAGAACAGAAGAAGAGCGAGTAGAACGCCAAGAAACTGAACAAGAGCCAAGACTGAAGGTGTAACCCTGAGACGACCGCTGAGTAGCCTGGTCGTCTGCCCAAGAAGCGTCTGAGTGCCCAGTGAGAACAACTGGGTATCGCCCTCCAAGCACTAGCCCCATGCCCGATGTACTGCACAAGTAGCGCAACACCCTCTTAGCTGCATCCATGTGCTCCTTCCGGGAGCGACATAGCGTGCAAGAATGCTAAGAGGGTATGCAAGGTCACGTGGAGTGCAGGTCATCAAGTACATGAGGCAACCCACAAGCTCTGGATACAGGCTACTCAGCTCTACGGACTCATCCGCAGGTAGAGCAGAGAGCGAGTGACCGGTAGGTAGAGGAGTGGGCTGAGGCGAGGAGTACGTGAAGCGGAAGCGCTGAAGGACCTGCTGCACCATGTGTGACTGAGTCAAGGTGATGGTGCGGCGTGCTCTGTCCCGGGTGATCCGCAAGCCAAGATAGCTTGTCAGTTCACCCTGGTCTGTGCACGTGTTTCTCTTCTGCAGCTCCAACTTCACGTGGGCGAGTGCCGCAGTGTCAGCAGTGGCAAAGACCAAGTCGTCGACGTACACGAGGATGTAGAACGGCGGCACTGAGGTGTCGGTGCGTAGAAACAGCGACGGGTCAGCAGTAGAAGGCGCGAACCCAAGAGCCGCAAGTGTAGTCCTCAGTGTGTCGTGCCACTCACGTGGCGCCTGGCGGAGACCGTAGACTGGCCGTCGGAGGCTCCACTGGGTACCATGAGGAAACGACCCAGTGAAGCCAGGTGGGCGGCGCAGCCAGATCTACTCGTGCAGGCTGCCCTGTAGGAAAGCTGTGCTGAAGTCAAGAGAGTGGAGCTCGTAGTTACGCTGAGTGGCGACGTGCAGCAGAACCCAAAGAGTGGACATCTTCGGGGTCGGGGAGAAGGTCTGGAAGAAGTCAATTCCCTCTCGTTGACTGAAGCCTCGTGCAACGTAACGCGCCTTGAAGAGAGGCGGAGAGCCCAGCGGCCGCTTCACCCTGAAAATCCACATGCCACTGACGATGTTCGCCCCAGGTGGGGGAAACTCGTCGACATAGGTGCCTGTGGACTTCCAGGAAGCCATCTCTATGTCCATGGCTGTCTGCCACTGAGAGGAGGACCGGCCATCGCCTCTGCGTAAGAGCGTGGGGTCGGGATGTCTGGTGCATCCGGGTCTCCCTCAGGGGCAACAAGCATGGACACGAGATGGGGCAAAGCGGCAGCAAAGCACTCAAACTCCTCCTGCCTGTCCTCAAGGACGTCAGTGCCAAGAGCACACTCACCCCCTACGGACGAAGGACAAACAGACTCAGACTCAGCAACTAGGCTAGCGGCGTAGTCTAGACGACAGGTGGCAGCAAAGTCGACAAGCTCAGAAACTAAGGCAGACGTAGCAGCGGACTCAAAGGAAGGGTTAGTGACAACAGTAGCCAAGAGACGCATAACAGTAGGACTGGAAGCACGAAGGGAGTCTGACCGCGGGTCAGCAAGAGCAGGAAGAGAGGACGCAGGAGTAGACGGCAGTGGGACACCCTCTGGAGCAGTGGAAGGACGAAGCGCCATCCGGTGAGTGCCCGTGACAGCAGGAAGACGCTGACGCAGGACACGACTACCAGTGAGAGCAGCACGGACAGGCGACGCACGACGAGACTCAGGCGACGCAGGACAAGACTCAGGCTCACGACACTCAGTAAGACCTCCACTCGGACCACTGTAAGGAGCAGGACCAGGGAGAGAGGAGGCAGACGGTAGCTGCAACAGCAGCTGGACAGACGGAAGACACCCTAAGGAGGGTGGAGGACAAGGAGGAGGGAGCTGACCGAGAACCTGCTGAAGGAGCGGAACGAAGTACGCTCGTGGCCGTGCAGCGACTCCAGAACCAGCAGAGACACTAGCGCGAGGGTCCTCAGCACCAGCAGCATCTCCAACTCCCGGATCCTCAGCACCAGCAGCAGCACCAACGCCAGGGTCCTCAGCACCAGAAGCAGCTCCAACGCCTGGGTCCTCAGCACCAGCAGGAGCTCCAACGCCCGGGTCCGCAGCACCAGCAGCAGCTCCAACGCCCGGTCCTCAGCACCAGCACCAGCACCAGCGCCCGGGTCCTCAGCACTAGCCGTAGCTCCAACGCCCGGGTCCGCAGCACCAGAAGCAGCTCCAACCTCTGGGACCGCAGCACCAGCAGCACCAGTAGAGTCTCCAACACCAGCAGCACCACCAGCAGCAGCGGGGTCTGCGACACGAGGTGCGCCACTCCGAAGAGTGCAGCGCCACTCGTACCACTGACGGATCCGCTCACGAGAGGGGAGCTCCCGACTAGGAGGAGAAGCACTAGCACCAGTCCCAGTAGTACGCCTGGCTCCAGAGGTACCTCTCCTTAGGCTGCAGTACTGTAAGTACCACTCACTAAGCTGCTCCAAGGAGAGGGCTCCTCCAGGTGTAGGACTCCCAGGCTCAGCACCTCCAGACTCAGAACCCCCAGACTCCGGACTCTCCGGCTCAGCACCCCTGGGCTCAGCACCCCCAGGCTCAGTACCCCCAGGCCCAGCTACCTCAAGCGGCTCAACCGGGTCTACCTGAGACACACCTGAGGGAGCGGCACCTTGAGGGGGGAGGAGGTCTACGACAGCAGCACCTGGCGCAAGGAAGAGAGGCGGGGGGGGGAGCGGGGCAGTGCGGTAGGGGAAGAGGCGGAAGTAGGGGACGGACTCGTCAAAAGTGACGTCCTGAGATGGCAAGACTCGGCGCGAGGTGGCGTGGTAAAACTGCCAACCAGGCGCGTCCGGGACAAAGCCAAGGAAGACGCAGGGAACAGTACGGGAGGAGAGCTTATCCGCAGACGTATCGCGGACAAAAGCCCGAGATCCCCAGACCCGGAAACGCTACGCATCGCCAACCTCCCCCGTCCACAGCAGTGTGGGCGAGGTCTCCGGCAAGGAGACACGGGGCCAGAGGTTGAGCTAATGCGCAGCGTACCGGACCGCAAATGGCCACAAAAAGTGGGGGGCAGCCGCATGGATCAAGGAGGTACGGGCGACCTCCATGACCAGGCCAATGCGGCACTCAGCAATCCCATTCTGCTGTGGAGAGGCCGGAAGCGTGAACGACTGCTCAATGCCGTGTTCAGCACAGTAGGCTGCCAAGAGGTCGGAGGAG